ACATTTATCAATTTATTATAAAGAATACAACAGCCAGGGGCGCCTGGGTGGCTCAGTCAATTAAGCGTCTGCCTTCGACTGAGGTCATGATCTCAGAGTCCTAGGATCAAGCCCCACGTCAGGCTCTCTACTCCGCGGGGAGTCTGCTTCTCCCTCTCCCTCTGCCCCTCCCCCCACTCATACCCTCTCTCTCTCTCTCTGTCTCTCAAATAAATAAAATCTTAAAAAATATATGTTTATAGATATATAAATATACATATTTATTTAAAAAAAAAAAAGAATACACAGCCAGAGAAAGCGATGCAAAGGGCAAGGTTGGGGGGAGGGTACGTGGAGCTTCCATAACCTCTCCAGGTACACCAGCCTCCTGACACCTCCACACGTTCACCATCCTAGAAGCTCTCTGAACATTTTAGATTTCTGTGGAGGCTTCATTATGTAGGCATGGCTGATTAAACCATTAGCCATTGGTGATTAGCCCAACTCTAGTTTGTCTCCCCTCCCGGGAGGTCAGGGGGATGGGGCTGAAAGTTCCAATCCTCTAAACCTATGATTGGTTTCCCCCATCCTTAGGGGCCTTCCAAAAGTCACCACATTAACATAAACCCAGGTGTGGTTGAAAGGGGTACATTATAAATAATAAATGATACTCTCTTCATCTTCATGTCTCTTTTCACTTAGGAAATTCCAAGGGTTTGGGGGAGCTCTGTGCCAGGAAGAGGGAGGAAGCCCAGATATCTATTTCTCATTATAAATCACCATATCACAGGAAGTGTGGAGATCCTCTAGGTAAGAAATCACAAAAGGCTGAATTAAGAGACTTCTACAGTAGACGGCACAAAACTGAAACTGGATACAGATGGTGACAGTGCAGACAAGGGGCTGCTCCCACTGCCGTGTTGTGAGGATGCTCGAGCAACCTGTGGGGAGGTCCATGTAAGGAAGAACTGAGTCCTTCTGCCAACAGCCAGTGACTGAGCTGAATTGGAAGAGGACCCCACAGCCCCAGGCAAACCTTCAGGTGCCTGAAACCTGGGCCCACAGCTGCCTGCAGTCTCATATGACACACTGAATTAGAACCATCCAGATGCTCCAGTCCCTGAGGCAGAGGCTGTGAGATAATGCACGCTCCTTGTTTCAAGTCACTAAGTTTTGGTATAATTTGTTATGCAGCAATGGATAACTAAGACAAATGGGCAGTGAGAAAAAGATGAAAACAGTAATAACAAAGCAAAACCAAAGGATACACAAGATGCCAGGTGGTGGTGGAGAGGGCAGGGGCAGGGTAAAAAAATCCAAACAATTGCCACTGAGTCTGAGTTTCTCTATCATCAAGCAGACCATGTTACATACTTCCAAAAACATTTGGCCTGAGGATGAAAGCCAAGAAGTAAGTTGTATTAGAAAAGATGCATATAAGAACCTAGCACAGCGTCCAAAACATAGTAAGGGGAAAAAATAATAACAAAAGCAACCCCAACAGCGCACATCCTGGCACTGTACTGTTTTTCTAGGTGACTCTAGCTCTGCAGTCCTAATTAACATTTATTTATTATGTCTGGTGCTACACTCACACTCAATTAGCTATTATTATCCCTGTTTCTGATGAGGAGATGGAGCCGCCCAGAATTGATGCGGCTTCTCTACAGTCCCACAAAGCCAGGACGTGAACCCACATCAGGCTAAATTCAAAATCCTCACTAATCCCACTGCACCATCCACGTCTCTTTATAGAACACTTATTTACATTCCTTGGGATTGTTTGAATTCTCTTCCCTCTGCCTTTCTTATGAAGAACTCCGCCAGTGTTCCTCCTCCCCCCATCCCTAAAAAAATCCTTTAATTATTGCTCACTCCTGAAACTAAGTGTCTACCTATTTCACTAGGGAGACTCAGAAAGCCCTTGCAGGGGTGGAATGCAGGAACTATGAATGTAAAGCTTCTTCAAGACTCTTCCTCATCCTCTGTCCCCTGGCTCTGAACATGCAGCTATTCTGCCTGGCAACCTTCCTTGTCTCTCCACATGCCCCCACGCCTCCAGGGCACCGTCTGGCTGGAGCACAGCATTCTCTCAGCCCCATTCCCCTGGAAAATGTTGAGTCTGCGTTGACATTGACACCCATTAAGGAGCTGTGCAGCTGTTCCCACACAGCCAGCCCAAAGGCCTTCCGGAAATTGTTTGCATTCACGCGCCTTCTGTACAGCCTGGCAGCTCTGCAAGGCCTGGCACCCCAGGACTGTGGCTGGGGTAGGGATGCACACTTTCTTTTACTCTTCTTTTCCTCTTCCCTGATTCCCTGAATGACTAATAAATTGAGGATTAATAGATAAGAAAAACAGGTATTTCTTTCTTGCTATCTAGAATAAGCTGGGTGTGTGTGGGGGGGGGGTTACAGCTTTTTTTTTTTCCTTTGTGGTTATAGATAACTATTATCATATTATTTAGATCTCATTTGGTTTAAGTGGCATAAATCCAATTCAAAATGGATTTGGCAAAAAGAAGAGTTTAATAACAGGGCATTGGAGTATCTCCAAGCAAGCTGAAGAAAGGGCAGGGACACTTCCAGATGGGGTCACCATGTACAGTTGTTCAAGCTGCACACTGCACAACCCCAGGGGCCACTGTATCACATGGCAGCCATATGAATGGCACCTTCTGGTGTGGTGCAGGGCACAACTTTCTAGCTCTTTTCAGTGTCCCTCCTCCACGTTTCAGGAATAACTGAAAGCAGGGTCTCAAATGTCACCAGGACTCTCTCTCCAACTCTGAAATGGGCTTCTCTCTGAATATTGACCAAATCCTTCCCACTGATGGGCTGGTTTCATTCATGTCTGTGAATGGTTCCTTACTTCCAGCCAAGAAGGGACTGGTGCTTTTATTGGTTCCAGCTTCAAAACTTCTAGGGAAGAGCTCTGATTGGTGTATTTGAGCTTGGCACCCATCCTTCCACCAATCAAGAAGCTAGATGGCTCAGAGGTGGGCATACCCTTGCTTTAGCCCAAATCAGATTCCCACCTGAATGGAGTATGTCTGCCCAGTAGGAGATGTAAGAGAATAGCCTTTGGGAAATTGAAGGCCTTTAACCCTTACTTATTTGCCTTTTTTTTTTTTTCTTTTTGTAACTTCAGAGCCTTTCGGGAGCACTAAATACCTAACGGTAGAACAGTAGATGGGATGATATGGAAGTAAAATTGCTCCATTTCAAGAATGGGTGTGAATTAAACTATCCTCCTCTGGGATTTTCACTTGATGCAGTCTTAAGAGTTTTGGCAAAGTGGGGGCTATATTCATATCTTGACTATTTGGGGGACATTATGATCCCTCTGCAGTCACGCGCTGGCAGCTTCCAAGCTCTCTGTCTTGAAGGCAGAATATAACAATTCTCTTCCCAAATTAACTGCCCACAAATGCTTGCCTCCTTCAAGGGGCCAGAGAGAACAAACAACAATCTCAGAACTGTCCATTTTATCACCCTTGTGCCCCCTCCTTTGCCTCCCACCTCCAACACCAGTGTGGAGGGCACACCCCTTTGCACTCTGATATTACTATCCCCCCAGCACTCTCTGCATCTTTTCTGAACCCCAGAATTTTCATCCCAACTCTCACCAGTCACCACTGCTCAGTAGTTTGAATATTCAAGCCAGAGAAGGACTCTCTGGGTATCATGAAATCAAGGGGTTACCCTGAAAGGGACTGGGGTCTTGAGGAATCCCAGAAAACAAACTCGGCTGCCACGTGCCATAAATATTCTTGGACCATTTAATCCACATGTAACGGGGGGGGGGGGGGTATGACTATTAATGACCAAAATAAATAGTAATCAATTATGATGATGGTAATTATGCTTTGAAATTAGCCTGGGAAAGGATGACCAAGGCAATTTTTTATTCCAGCTCAGGAAAATGGGACGCCAGCTGGGGCTAATAAGAGCTTTCATTAAAGCACTGAGCTTCATCCAGCACGGCGAAGAAAGCCCTCTCTGTCCTGTGGCCCGGCCCGGCCCTGACATGCTTTCTGCTTTTTAACAAGAACTGAAAGGTGGCGAGACAGACAGTTCTTGCCTTGGCACCGGGCAAAGTCAGCAGTTGAAAAGGCAGTGATTATTTTCAATGGCCCAGTGCTGGGGAGTTTCGTTTCCTTTGCCCCGTCTCCACGCGCCTGGGTTCCCGCACCAGCCCTGGAATTGACTAGGGCAGTTGGCGGCGGTGGATGACCCGGGGCAGAGGGTCTGGGCAGGCAACGACCGGCCAGGGCAGTTTACAGGTCTTGCTGGGGTAGGAGCCAGAGGGAAGAAAAATGTAGTTTCTGCACAAGGGAGTGTGTGTCTTTCCCCGCACTTTAGTCCCCTGGTAGCTGCAGCAGAGATGGTCACTAATATTTACCAGCCGGCCCTTTCAACCCAGACAGCGTATTTGCTGGGCACGGGGTGGCCCTGACAGCTTCTCTGCTCCTACATGAACGGCACCTTTGGGAATTTCATGGAAGTCACTCACTGCTGGCTCCTGCCTCAGTTTCCCTTTCTGCCTCGCTCCTGTTCACTATTTCTTGCTGTTTCTCTCTTGCTGTGAAGAAACTAAAGAAAGCCTCTCTCTTAGCCACCCTGTAGCAAAGCTGAGGAGTTCAAGGGTTAGTGGGAATAAAATTCCCTTCTCCCTCTTTTGAGTCAGATACCAGACACAAGACCCAAGCCTTTGATAGAGGCTGGCTCTCAACCAGGGGCGATTTCACCTGCCAGCAGACTTCTGGCAACATCTGGAGACATTGTTGGCTGTCACAACTGAGGTAGGAACGCTACTGGCATCTAATGGGTAGAGGCCAGGAATGGTGCTAAACATCCTATAATGTATGCAAGGAATAATTTTCCCGCCTAAAAGATCAATAGGTCTGAAGCTGAGAAACCCTGGTTTAATTAATGGCTAAGGAAGCATTTATTCGCCCCCCTCCCCAACGGCTGGCCTCCCGGAAGACTGTGTCAGGGGGTGTGAAAGTCTAAACCCACCTTCTGCGACAGAGATTTCTTCCAGAAAACACAGCCAGCCAGGGGCGGAGCCACACACCAGCGTAGTAGTACGTCATCAGTGACCCCTCCTCCTTTGGCCAGCGCTGGCCAATCAGAGTAGCTGCTCCAGGGAAATTAAGGCAAAGGAGGAGGTTGCAGAAGCTCCCTTTCTAGCACGTCTGCCAAAAGGGAGGATGTTCCTCCCCTCTATATACAGGCCAGTTCAGGTTGTCGATAAATCTCCAGAGTCTGAGAGGCCCAGGAAGGGCTCCCAGGAGGTTTGGGTATGACCAAGAGTTGAGAACAAATCCCACGACAAGCCTTAGACTCCACATTCATTCGGCAGTTGCACACAAGTCCGTGCCCCAGGTGCTTTGTGTATTCGGATTCCATCCATACAGCAGGGCTGCGGGATTTTAAGTCGTGCTTTACCCCCTACTGCGTAAGTTGTGCGCCTTGAACCTTTGCCTAGGTCTGACAGTAATCTTGTAGAACTTAACTCAAAATCAACTCATTTTACTGTCAAAAAATGGAGTTTATTTAGACTTCACAGAAATTCTAGCGATTTGGGTTGTGGGAGCAGAAGCCTCTCATTTACTCAGCACCACTAGATGCCAAGCACTCTGCTAGACCTACACATAAATTATTTCCTTGCCCCCTCCCCAGAATCCCATGAGATACTCGTAGCCCATTCCAGGGACCAGAAAACTGCCGGGGCAGAGTAGTGGCACAGAGCCTTGGCACTTACTTGTGCACACTCCCTAGTGCTTGGCAAGATCCAGCATTATTAAGAGGTCCTGGGCTATAACAGGGGCACAGCCGGATTGGAGCTGTCAGGGAAGATGCTCAAGGGATCCCACAACATCCCCCTCCATCCCTGAGTGCTTCTAGAGACAAAATCTTGAGGCACATCTAGTGAGTCTGACCAGTAAGGCAGAAAGGCGTTGGTTTCTCAGTGGTCCCCATACACCAGGACGAAGCTTGTTTCCATTTGGTGTCCTCAGAAAAAGGGCCTTTTTTTTTTTTTTTAAATTCTGAACTGACCCATTCCAGGGTCAGGAAATTCTTCCATATAGACAGTCTCAGGCTGCTGTTTAAGCCAATTTCCTCCTCCCCAGTCCAGAGTAGAGATGAAGAACAGCTGGTGGCCACTGTCTCTAAAAATCCTTCATAAACCTGAAGACCCATTACACAATCCGCCTTCTCCAAAGGAAATCATCCCAGTTCTCTTGAGTGTTTCTCAGAGATTATCTGCTCTCCAAGTTTCCTCTGCAAACAGTTTGACCACTTCAGAAGTTCTGTTCCTCTTGAGTTTGGAGACCTCAGTCAGGTACAACACTGAGTCCACACTCTACACAACACGTGTTCTCTCACACATGTTGTCAGGGTCTGATTCCCCAGCAAAACCCACAGGGAAGCCATGGTGACAGGGCCACAAGCTCAAGACACGAGAGTTCAAATGCGTGCTCCTCCTCGCACTCGCTGTGTGACTACAGGCCGGCCAAGCAGGACCTGCAAGACCTCTCCATCTTTATACCCAAAGCAGAAGGAACGACTTTCCCAAGGGGTTCTAATGAGATCATGTGAGTTAAATGCTTGGCACCAATAAGAACACTCGCCCCAGTAACTATGATGACTTTGCTGTTATGCCCTCCTCTAGTGTAGTCACTTCCGTATTCACAATTCCTCTGAATTAAGCAAAGAAGTTCTTGCCGGTCCTGTTTGCCTCCTGAGAACTAAGCCCACTGTCCTGGATGTGTTTGAACCAGACTGCTCACACCCCCATGGGGATCAGGGAAGGGGCTTCTACTTTGGGTGGGAATGGGCTTGGTGACCTCCTAAAATCCCTTTCAAGTCCAAGATTCTATTAAGAACTCGGGTCAACCCAGGCTCTCAACCCCTTATCCATTTTCCACAAAGAAAGCCAACCAGATTTTCCATGGAGGAAATGCAGGAGAGATGGTACCCTGTACCCCTCACAACACCCTTCCTCTGTTCCTCATCAGACATACCTATCCTCCCAGTTCCCATTCTCTCGTGCTTCCCCTGGTGATCTTCCTCTTCTATACTCCCCTGAAAATGCTCCATCTCCTTTCTATTAGGTCAAGCAATGCAGCTTTGCCCTCAACCTTGTCTACCCCATCCAGGTCAGTTATAGCCAGCTAACAGGATCCACCTTCCTTAGTAGGCAGTAGACCATCTACTCTCCTGGGAGCATGGCCTCTGGCGTCTTACTCCACGACCAAAAAGATTTATCAGAGAATTTCTTTCCTGTGCACACAGAATTTTTTCTGAAAGAAATTCCTACAATACAATTTTCTCTATCCTCTTGCATACAATTTAATGATTTCTGTCTCCAATTCCAAGAGCTTGTATTATTACCTCCTTGTAAAACAAACTACGCCAACAAACAATTATAACTATATATATTTTTTAAAACTCCCTTGCACGTTTTATGTACTGACTTCATTGTGCTTTTTGTCTGGACCCAGCATCTCATAGAGCTAGGCTGCAGCACCACAACTTGCCCATAGGTGGCACCAGCTCACACACTTTTATATGTCCGCATGAAATGTATCTTGAGATTGAGGTTTCAGGTTATGTAAAATGAATTAGCTGCATACTTCTCTGTTTGGAAAACTCGAAACTTACCAACTATCCTTCCAGTAAAAGGGAATAGCTGAACTGGACTCCCTCTTGCCAAGGCTCTGGTTGGTGGCGCTTTCCCAGTTGACTTGCCGTGTCTATTTCTCACCAAGAGACCCCTCCCCATAGCACAGTTTAGCCTCTTTCAATTATTCCTGCCATGTCATAGTCAACAGGTGTTCCCAGCATCTTTTAGGGAGCATGTCAGGGAAATCTCCAAGGGCCGCGAGACCCCAGGATGCAATGATTTTGCTCTTAAGACATAGGCATGATCCTCTGTTGAAAGGAGCTGGCCTCCTGCCTCCGGAATGCAGTGTGATTCCTTCTCAGCCAGGAGACAACTGCCTGAGCTGGACATTGCCCACCAGTGTTGTCCAAGTAGGCAAACTCTTGGCTCCTTATAAATCCTCCCTCAGAGTTATAATTTTTAACAGCAATTGCGAAACAGCTTTGGGCAAACCAAAGGAAACGCACTGGACAGCCCTTGAAAAACAATGTAGGCCAACATGCTGCCTCCATCCAGGACTGGGACTTAAATGAAGGTGGATTTCACCAGGAACAATTTCTTCCCCAACCACTACAGCTGGGCAGAGAAGTGGGGCTATAATGAGAGTAATGATCAGTTAACTGATAGCCTTTTTAGTGCATTTTGGAAAACCCAAGCCTCCCGGACATTTCCGCCATCTCCCCTTCTCCCTTGCTGAGTCAGAGCTGGGCTTTGCATAACTCCTATTAGAAATGTCTGCTCTTCATGGTCCTTTCCAACTGCCCCCCCCATTCCACCCCTGCCCACACATGCGCACACACCGCCTGGGATTCCTTTCCTCCTGGCTAGCAGCCCCAGCCTCCATGGCTCCTTCTTCCCATCCCCCAAGCCCAATACCTAGGGATCCTCACTTTCCTACCCTCTGTTTTCAGAGCTGTTAGCACTCTGCCTCGTCTCCCAGATGGGCTCACAGAAGCTTTTCAGCAGGCTGAACAGAGCAAAGGCCTTCCCAAGACTGCAGCCCACCCACCTCAGTGAGCACAGAATTACACCAAGTTCTGCTCACGGATCACTCATTCCACAGTTACTGGTTGGGAAGCTACTGTGCACCAGGCACTGGGTGGCATGGAGAACACGGAGTGCATTCTCTGCCCCTCTGAATCATATTGTGTGACAGCTGCTAGAAGAACGCCTGGAAATATCATTGTTGATATAGTGCTTGTCTTTGTGATTACACCTTTAGCCTTGATGCACCCCTTTCACCTCTGCAAGCAATTTTGCCACATGCTATGAGCTCTACTCTCCAACTTCAGTTATTTGTAAACCATCTTTACGAGTTTTGCTGTAAGCATGTACCACCTATGTTTTATTGGCTTTATATAAGTCTTTAAAATGACTCGCTTTCTTTACTTAACCGTTTTTAAAAATTTTATATCACTGCCATAAATGGAAAACTTGCCATAAATAGAAGGCAACCCTAAAATCAAGTGTAATTTTAAAACTATGCTATGAAATTTTAGCTAAATACAGAAACTTGAGCCTGTGCCCACTCTGTTAAAAAAGGGAGCATAGGATTATATTAGACAGGTGTTAAAGGCAGTCTAGCTCCACACTGATACTTACTCCTTACGTTATCCAAATAGTTAAGTGCTCTCACTGAGGAATGTAGTACAATTTCATGCCATCTCTCTAACCATCTACAATCATGTCAGTTGCCGTCAGTAACTTCCATCTAAATCAGTCAGCATAGCCACATTCTGCACCAGTAACAGACAACCTTCAAATCTCAGCAGCCTAAACACAAAGGTTACTTCTTGTCCATATTTACTGTGAGTTGGCAGGATCCACACTCATACTTGTTGCTCAGAGTTACAGGCCAATGAAGCAGTCAATATCTTGAATGTTGAAGGTCATTGTGCCAGAGGTAAAGGAGAGAGTAATACAAAGAATGCACTGGATGCACTGGCTTTTAACACTTGCACCCAACACTGAAGTCTCACCACTTCTGGTCACTATTCAATGGCCAACTCAAGTCACATGGCCATCCCCTGACTTCACCTGAGCAGGAAGTACAATCCTACCATATCCTGGAAGGAGAGAGAGCTGGACTATTTGTGATCAGCCATACAGACTTTCATTCCACCCCATTCACTGATAATACTGCCCCAAACAATTGGTCCCCAGCCTCTCCAGGCATGGATTTCTATACCACCCACAACAACCAGGCAAGCTAGACCACTTACCATGCTGTGACCATGACCATGCTCTGCACTTGTCTTCCCCTGCCTCTGCTCATGGCTCCCACTTAATGGAACACCCCTCCCTGTCTCTCATCCTACTCACCCTTCAAGATTCTACCTATTCCTGAGGCTTTATCCACCCCCCAAAATGAAAGTTGTATGCTGTGTGTGTGTGTGTGCGCACACGTGCATGTGTGTGCGTTTTCCTAGGGTAATATTTTAGATTTTCAGAGCTGAAAGGGATGGACTCCTCCATTTATAATAGAGTTTCTCAACCCAACACTGTTGACATTAGGGCAGGATAACCCTCTCATGTGGGGGACTGTCCTGTCCATTGTAATATGTTTAGCAGCATCCCTGGCCTTTGCTTAGATGCCAATGGCAACTTCTTCCCTCCAATTGTCACAACAAAATATGCTGCAAAACACTGACTGTTCCTTTGGAGAGAGGGTAAGATTTCCCCCAGTTGAAAACCACTGTTTTACAGGGCAACCAAGATGAACTAAATATTGTGTCCAAGGTGACACAGTGAGTTAATGGCCAAAGGGGCTGGAGGAATCCAGGTTCTTGATTCCCCCACCCGCACCTCTGATCTGGTGTTCTTGGCACTGGTACATGGGGCTCAGGCTGGGAGCATAAATGAAGGAAATGGGCTGAGCTCATATTCCTTTGACACATCTGTTGTGCCCATCGAACAGTTCCATAAAGAAATATGCTCTCTCTCACCTAAAAAATAGACACACACACACATACACACACACACCCAGACTTCTTGATCTGTCTTACAGTCTTTGACTTTTGATGTAGATAACAGCACAATTTCATTTGCCTTTCATTCTACCATAAGGCAAAGAGTAGTGTTAATCTAGTAACAATATGGCAACAGTATTACGAGAGAGACTCCGGGGGAGTTCTGGGGTTTGCATAAAACTGGACAATGTATGCCCCATCCAAAAGGCCAAGTATCATGGCAAGTTTTTCAGAGATGAAATCCAAAATTTAATGAGATACTTTCTGATTACTAGAGGCTGGAAACTGACTTCTTCTTTTTTTTTTTTTCTTTGAAATGTGCAAGTGCAAACTATAGGCCACACAAAATACCAGGTTTGACCATGAAGGCCTGCCTCCCCTACATTCACAAGTGACCACATCATGTCCCAGGGTGGACATGTTATAGCTCACAACCCACCCTGAATGTCAGCCACCTGGAGGGCTTTGAATCCCATAGAGTCCCAGACCCCACTCCAGACCTGATGAACAGGAAGTCCCCAGAGTGGGCCTCTGGGACCTGAGTTTTTGGAAAGCTCTTACATAATTCTGATGCACCAGGTCCCTCAACAGCTTTATGAAACAGCGTATTACCTCCTCCCTCCTCCCCAGACTGTGAGCTCCTCAGGGAGTGGAGGGGACCACATCTCCATCTTGTTCTCCTCGTACCAGCTGAGAACTAACGCAAGCTAGGTGCCCTTTAAACATTTACTCAACCAGAAAGGTTGAAGAAGTAATTGCTTCCAGGCTTTTCTCTTGGATCTCATTTTTTAAAAAATCTCTGTGGTATTTGCTTGCAACATTCCCCTACCCACTCCAAGGTTCCTTGGAAGAAAGATAGCTGTGGAGGGCAGGATAAGGGACGGCAGGCACGTCGCATTATTGCCACTTTGAATAAAAGGAGAAAGTCTGCGATAAGGTTTTTGGTTCCAGGAAGGCTGAAGAGACTGCTCTCACCAAGCCCTCTCCTGGACAGAACTTCCTCTGGCTCCCTGGAGGGCAAAGAAGGTCTGGCTTTATCCTGCATGGGCTACCCTGGGGAAGAGGTGCTCCTTCAGCATCATTTATTGAATCTAGCAAACTTTAAATCCACCCACACCTCTTCCCAGCAGTTCCACATCTGGAAAGTTCCTTCCAGATATACAGGGACAAAGGCACAAAGATGCAGGAATAAGAATGTTTGCTGCAGCATTGTTGGAGGGAGTGAAACTGTGGACAAACCCTAAATGTCCATCACTGGACATGGCCAAAATGGACTCCGGTCCATCAGTATGACAGGAGACCGGCCAGCAGATCACCCCTATTTGTCTCTGTCATGGCAACTCACCCAAGCCCTCCACAGTCCTCTCTACCATTTGGTCACTGTTTATTTTGGGTCTCAAACTCTAGATTATAATTTCCCCCAGAGAGAAGTATCGTGCATGCTTTAAGGAAAAATAAAATAAGATGAAAATAGAGAGGGAGGCCAACCATAAGAGAGCTTAATTCTAGGAAGCAAACTGAGGCTTGCTGGAGAGGAGGTGAGTGGGGGATGGGGTCACTGGGTGATGGGCATGAAGGAGGGCACTTGGTGTGATGAGCACTGGGCATTGTACACAACTGATGAATCACTGAATTCTACCCCTGAAACTTATAATGCAGTCTATGTTAATTAAATTGAATTTAAATAAAGAATTTTTTTAAAAAAGAACAGATACACAGCTACAGGTATTGAAAACATGCCCACAATACAGTGCTAAGGGGCAGAGAAGTTCCAGAATGGTATGTGTGTCACAGAGCTCCAGCAGCAAGCAGAAGACACACCGAAGGGCGTGCCAGGCTGTGAACAGGAGTGTCAGGGAGAAGCTGGTATGGTGCTGGGGTGAAGGTGGGAGAGCCAACAGGGGCTGTGCAGCGCCTGGGTAGCAGGCAGTCACCGTCCGCCTCGGCCTCAGGGCACAAGGGAAGGCCTAAGATTACTGGAGTCCAGAGATAGCTGGACTGTGGAAGAAAGTTCCAACGTGGCCTGTGGCCCCAGGGAGGCTGGCCATTTCAGGAACCACAAGGAGCTAAGGCAGAGGCAGAAGGGGAGGACGGAGTAAATACCTCAGCCTCCTCTCCTCTGGTCCTCCTACCTCTTGCCAGTGCTGCCCACTGGCCACCCACTCAGAAGCCAGAGCCCCTGGCAGCCAAGGTGCTGCCATCTGTAGGGACTGGCCTCCCAGACACAGAGCAGGGCAGAGAGAGATGGAGAAGACTTGGAGGGCCAGGGCAGGGGAGGCAAATGGAGAAAAGCCTCCCAAAATGTGGTTTGATCCCATTTGTGTAAATATATATATAATTACATCTTTTCACACGCACGAAAACATCTGAGGACACACAGCACACCACCTGCCAGTGGCTTTCTCAGGGACTGGAATTTGGGGTGATGAAGATATTAGAAAGGAGAGTTTGACTTCACCCACCTTTGTGTTCTGGGAATCTTTAACAATGAGCAGGAGGTATCTTAAGAATAAAAAAATGTCATCACTGACTCTGCAGTGCTGGACCTTAGAAATGAGAAAACAAGAAAGTCTTTCCTGCCCCTCCAGACCAGGGGCGGTCCCTCTGAGATACTTCCCAGAGCCGGGCAGGGAAAACCGCAGGGACAAAGGCATGGAAGCTGGAAATCAGATAGGGCATCAGAAACAGCCAGCAGGACGTTATGGATCTGCTGTGGGGATGAGGGCCAGGCAGAGTCTGAAGCCAGATAGGTAGATCAGGACACAACCCAAAGGGCCTT